GCGACCAAAGCGGTTTCTGTGCTGTAGCCAGGCCTGAAGCCAGACTGGAATTGATCAAGATAACTGGCTTCCTCCAAGGACCGCTGGAGCTGAAAGGCCACCACCTTCTCAACTACCTTCCCCACAAAGGGGAGGTTGGAGACTGGATGATAGTTGTTTAGAACGGCTGGATCCAGAATATTCACAGAATATTATTAATGAACAAAATGGATAAAACCAGACAAAGGGAAAAAATAAATTTTGCATCAGAAATTGTTCAACTGCTGTAATTACAATTAATCTACAAGAAAATAACTTGTTACAAAATATGTCTCATTTCTGTAAAGAAAATTCTTTTCAAATATCTCCACTTTTTAAAATATGAAACTTATGTAGAGAAATTAGCATGTCACAGAGTTTTTCTTTTGATTGCTCATAACCCTTACTCAAAATTATTTAGAAAATGCTCTCTCATTTTCTCTCTCTCGCTTTCCAATTTATCTCATATGCTGCTCTGATGTGGCAAAAATTGGGATAAAGATTTAAAAAATATTTAAAGATCTACTACTATTATACCGTCTTATTTCACCCTTTACTTTAAGTGAGACAAATACCTACTACTGCAGTGGTGGGTTCCGACAGACTATTGCTCATTTGTCAATGGCACGCTGCGTACGCACACTTGATGCGCACTATGCACGCATGCACAGTACAACTAAAATGGCTCAAGATGGCAGCGCCTATGGTGCTGACGGGAGAACTAGTTCAGGAGCGTGGCAGGCCTGGGTTGCTGCCGGTTCCAGTAACCCAGGCCACCAAGTTACTACCGGTTTGGTCGAACCGGTTCGAACCGGTAGGAGCCCACCACTGTACTACTGTCTTAATCTAATGAAAGGAATTCATGAACAGAATCACAAATAGCCCCAAACATTCTGTGTAACACAAATGTTATATCCCTAAATGTGCTCAAAACTCTCACAGGACACAGTATAAATAGAATGAATTCTACCTTCAAATACTTCAAATAACCTATGTATTCCAAATACACAGTATTATCTTTGAGCACAGCGAAGTTCTCCCTGCTTTCTAAGATTCTCCAAATAATGAACTAAATATTATCTAGGGACTGAAAAGATACTTGAATCCCATTAAACTTTAGTCAATTGGACTTAAATATACAGATATGAGTTTAAGCAACTATAAGTATAATGGTTTAAAGCATACTTAATTCACTGGATTTCAATGCAAACTTTACATATACTGTTCCAGTAATATCTTCAACTGTACAACTCAGGTCATGAGGACTAACCACTAATCCCTTCTCTAAATTATATTGCTGAAATCACTGCAAACCTTTCCCTCCCTGGGCATAATTGTCAGTATACAGGAATCCTTCACATACAAAAACTTCTACATGACATGGGACTCTAATATTGCATGTACAAGCATTTTAATATACTGTATGTGTAGGCTTAGAAAATAGAGGGGCTTAAAGAAATAACTTAGAGGAAGGACTTTTTTCATCATGAATTCGGCATAGGGTTGGTTGCTTGTATATGTATAGTTCTCTTAAGTTGCATCAGTGGTGGGTTGCAGACAGTATGCCCCGGTACGGGCATACCGGAGCCTGCCTGGAGCATCAGATACCATTCCAATACGGTGCTCCAGAGGGCCCACCTGCCCGCCTGAGCTCCTTACCTGTCTTTGAAGGCTTCCGCGCTTCTGTGCACACGCATAGCGCATACAGCGCCTGCGCAATGCTCTGCTGAGCAGCTGGAACATCGCGGAGGCTCATGGAGGCGGTAAGATGCATGCACACACTACGCACGTCCATGTGGATGTCCCCAGGCCCGTTCCAACTGGTACAGTTGGAACGGGATCTGGAACCCACCACTGAGTTGCATAGAAAACATATTGCACACTAATATATCACAAAGATCTTCATCTGGGCTTTAAAAATCTTCTCATCATAGTGGTAGAAGTGTTTCCAGAGTACAATTCTTCTAGTAGATGATCTCACCAGCAAAGGTGGAGAATGCTCCCACTAAGCATAAATACATGCTGGTTTTCATCTATGTTGGCAAAATGCTCATATTTATCTCCTGCTATACTATTATGGCTGCCTATTATATACTATATTATATAATATATGATATTATATAATCACTTGGATTGTAAAAATATTCTATGTTCAGATTGATGTCACCAGCAATCATACATTTCAGCCATACAAATTTTAAGTGAATCATCTGGAATCTAAATCTTGCTCCCTTTCGAAAACATAGTCATGACTGTAATTCACTTAATTCTCCAAAATTTATCTGAAGGAACTATTTTTAACTCTCAAGAGAAGTTTCCAAGCTGTTTGAATCAGAAAGAAAAAGAAATCTTAGCCTCTGTAATAATTACCAATTATATCTGGCAGGAGTCATTGTAACATTTCATACAGTGTTCAGCATGTAGCTGTGCCTGCCAAACTTCACAGGACTCAGATTCTATATATTTATTTAAATAAGTAAACAAAAAGCAATTAATACCAACTTTTTTCATATGTTTATTTTTGTTGAGATTCAGTATGATTAAGTCCAGCTCTCAAGTTGTATGTAGGCCTATGTATGCAATTTTATCTTTAACATTCTTTTCATCTTATAAAAATAAAGCTCCTAAAGTTTTTTGTTATTATAATATTTGTAATTTTGCTAAGCAACATCAACATTTCAACAAGCACCTGCAATATATATTAAATTCCTATAAATATATTTATTTAGGAAACAATCTGA